GGGGGGACATGATCCAGGTCTATAAGATTCTAACAGGTTTGGATGCTGTTCAATCGAATAGTTACTTCAGCATTAGTTCAAATACAAGAACTCACGGCCATAGGTGGAAATTAGCAGGAGAACATTTCAAACTGGATTTAAGGAAGCACTTCTTTACACAGCGTGTAGTCAGAGTATGGCATAGTCTTCCTGATAATATAGTGCAAGCTGAATCCTTGGGTTCCTTTAAATCAGAGCTAGATAAGATTTTAACAACTCTGAGCTTTTAGTTAAGTTCTCCCCAAGAGAGCTCGATGGGCCGAATGGCCTCCTCTCATTTGTATAGTTCTTATGTTCTTATAGTTACATTGATATAGTATGTTTATCCATGTATATGACTTGCATTAAACTGGTATTAAATTAATAAAAAAGGATTCTATGGAGACTTGTTTAGGACTTGTAGCTTGAGACATTGGTTTGTTGACGAGAAGTGCAACATTAACCACAATCAGAGGACAGAAAGAGGCATCAGGCTAGTAGAGGAATTCCTGGAACAGATGGGCTGTGAGGCATTTCTTGAAGGTGGACAAGGAATCTGACAACTGAATGTGGTTTGGAAGCTCATTCCAGCATCGGGAACTCACATGAGAAACCTTTGGAGTAACACTTGTCACGTTGTGGAAGAAGAATCTCCAAGCGACATTGGCTTGTAGACCTTGAAGGAGACAGGTGCATGCTCATTAATGGATCTGAAGACTAGCCCCAAGGAGTTAAACTTAATGCAAACACCTATAAGGAACCAATTGAGACAAGGAGGGGCGCAATCAGCATTTAGGCTGATTGAATACCAGACGTGCTGGCGCATTTTGAGTCACCTGCAGTGATCTGACAGCACAAGCTGGTAAACCTGCAATTGGAGTTGGAGAATGCTATTACGTGCTCAGTAAAGAATAGCTGGTGGTCTGTCATTGCCCAAAGGTTCCTAGCGGACCTAGGAGGCAACGTCAGTGATCAAGCTGATCAGTGAAGTAATGATGGATGGTATGGCAGGCAGTGAAGAGTTAAGCTCCTGTAATTTCACTACTGTCATGAATTTCCCATGAGATGGGGAACAGCTAGCTATTTCCTTTGATCATCCGCCAGTTTCCACTTCAGCTCTTATTGAATACTCAATTAGCTAATCTCTGCGTGGGTGAAATTGTGCACTCTCACTTTCAACTTTCTCTATGTTCTAATGTACCCCTGCCTTTTTTTTCCTCTGAGTTATTTATTCACCTTTTCTATCAAATTCCACAACCATGTTTCTGAAAAAGTCAATATTCTCTACTACATTATTTATGGTTGTAGGATCACATTACGAGTAACTTTTTATGCTACTAACCTCTTCTTTTGACATTCCCTGTCAGCTAAAGCAAAAATGAAAAAGACCCATTAGTCCTTGACAATAATTGTCTACATAGGACACGCAAGGTGAACTTCTTGCAAGAAGGAGTTAGTTGTTTATTAGAACAAGTTTGACTTCAGCCAACAGCCAGTACAGTAACATGGAGGGCAAGAGCAAGACTTGTAATCAAAGTTCAGGCGACGGTCATTTCCTTAGGCGGAATGATGAATGTATAGGTGAGGCAGGCAGAATCTAACTCAAAAGGTTAGCAAAACAAAAGACAAACACACCCAAAACATAATCCAAGAGGCAAAAACTGAAAGCAAGGAAACAAGACTGAAAACCAGAGATCAAGCACAACAAAAATGCTTAAATGCAGGAGGCAATATCGCAAGGAGCAGACAGAATAGGCCACTATAGAATAAAATATATGGTAAGGATTAGTCCAACAGGTATACCTGATTTAATGAACAAAGTTATAACAGACACAAGAACAGCTGGGAGTTTCTGGAACAGGCAGACAGGAGCAAGGAATTCTAGGTAATATAGTCCTAGTCACTAAGACTGATACCAGACAGTACCCCCTCTCCTAGGAATTCCACATGGCGGTAACCAGCTACACTAAAAATCTGCTTAATGCCTTATGAAGGATTAACCAAGATCGTACCCATGACCTCTCTTCACTACTGTACTTTTCCCAGTACACCAGGTATTGGACCCCTCTGCCTCACTTTCTGACATCCAACTATTTTCTGACAATAGGCCCCTATTGTCTCGCTATCATCAATAAGCCTAGGAGGAGGTGAGTCTACTGATGAATGGCAATTGTAGAGGATGGCTTCACTTTAAAGATATGGAAGTTTAGGTGGATCCAATGCATTGTGGCTGGTGGGCAGAGGTGAACAGTAACTGGACTTGTAACCTTGGAAATGGGAAAGTGTCTGATGAACCCGGGTGCAAACTTACGGGTCTCTAGCTTGAGAGGTGAGTACCTGGTGGATAACCATATCCGCTGGCCCTGATTATATTTGGATGCTGGTCTTCGGTGGCTGTCAGCTTGCTCCATGAACTTGGTCTGATTTCTTACCATGGCTTTCCTGCTTGTTCTCCAGGTATGTTGGTAGCGCCAAATGAACCGATCCAGAGCTGGAACATCAGCCTCCCATTCTTGGATATCAAATAATAGCAGTTGGTCCCCCAGGCAACACCGTAAGTGTGACATTCCTGTGGAAGTATTTAGTAGAGAGTTACATGCATATCCAATCCACGACAACTGATCACTCCACAAGGTGGGTGTTTTAGAGCAGGCACAGTATAGCATCTTCTGATGGTTCTGGTTCATTCTCTCCATCTGGCTGTCAGGTCAACCATGGTCTCAGAATTTGGGTAGGGGAACAAAGTAAGCCGAACATTTTGATTATGGTTAACATGATTGAATTGTCTTTCTAAGGTGGTAACCCAGTAACAAAATCCATGGCTATATCAGCTCATGGTTGGAATGGAACAGGTAGAGGTTGGAGTAGGCTAACCAGGGGAGAATTACAGCTCTTTTTCTGGCCGCAAATCATACAGGCCTTAACATCATCTCAAACATCCTCTTTCATCGTGGGCCACCAAAAATTTTACTGCAGCTGTGTAAACATGCAGTTAATTCCTGTCCCCATAACAACTCTTAGTCTCACCCGATCTGGGACATAAAAGCAACCCTCAGGGCAAGTAGAGCATGATGGGTTATCTTGATTATCTCTCCTCAATCTCCCAGTAATAAGGTGTAGGAACTGTCCACTGGCCCAATGGCAGAATCCAATTGGACAGCCAAAGGCTTGGAATGCGTGTAGATCCTTCCGAGCGCTCCTGCAACTTTACTCCTTTAGGTAAAACCGAATTATATCTGACTCCAATTTAAATAAAGATCTTTCATGGCATTTTAGTCATGACATTTCTGTTATTCAGATTACATCTGGGCTGTGCTTTCTATTACTTAACTCCCATTGATCCCGGACGGTGGAGTACACTGGATTCACCTCGGCTGATAGGGCGTTCCGCAAATCTGCTGTGTAGGACTCGGTTCAGAAGGTGGGAAATCCCTACAACGTAACACAATGTCAGCCTAGACAACCTTTCAGACCCGGCGACCTATAACTCCTCAGAGGCTCAGCTGACACTTGCCATATCTGAGCTTGTGAGATACTTGCATCAGAGATAAACCGGTGTTTGCCGTAACTCAGCGTGTGCGCGCCTCAGGGGCAGAGCCGGTCTTTGTCGTAACTCAGCGTGTTCGCACTTCAGAGGCTGGGCCGGACTTTTACTGTAACTCAGCGTGTGCACGCCTCAGAGGCTGAGCCAGTCTTTGCCGTAACTCAGCATGTGCGCGCCTCAGAGGCTGAGTTGGTCTTTGTCGTAACTCAGCGTGTGCGCGCCTCAGAGGCTGGGCCGGACTTTTACCGTAACTCAGCGTGTGCTCGCCTCAGAGGCTGAGCCGGACTTTTACCGTAACTCAGCGTGTGCTCGCCTCAGAGGCTGGGCCAGTTTTTCACCATAACTCAGAGTGTGCGCGCCTCAGAGGCTGGGCCGGACTTTGCCGTAACTCAGCGTGTGCGCGCCTCAGAGGCTGGGCCGGACTTTGCTGTAACTCTGCGTCTGCGCGCCTCAGAGGCTGAGCCGGTATTCACCGTAACTCAATTTGGGCAGTCGCATCGGGACTCGGAGAAACAGGGTCAAGTCAGAGGCTGCAAGAGAGTGTTATAAATAAACCCAGTCTACGGGAAACATGCAGAGGTTAGCAAAGTCANCGCACCTCAGAGGCTGGGCCGGACTTTTACCGTAACTCAGCGTGTGCACGCCTCAGAGGCTGAGCCGGTCTTTGCTGTAACTCAGCGTGTGCGCACCTCAGAGGCTGGGCCGGACTTTTACCGTAACTCAGCGTGTGCACGCCTCAGAGGCTGAGCCGGTCTTTGCCGTAACTCAGCGTGTGCGCGCCTCAGAGGCTGAGTCGGACTTTGCCGTAACTCAGCGTGTGCACGCCTCAGAGGCTGAGCCGGTATTCATAACTCTTG